TCTCCTTGCTCGCCTCTCACTCCTCTCTATACAAGGAAATCAAGGGGCAGTGCAGTACACACAACCCAAACGCCCGCTCCTCTATCTTCTCTCTCTCGTCTCTCTCTCTTCTTCTCTCTTCTCTCTCTCAGCCTTTTCTTCCTCGCTAGCTGTCTGGTCTCTTCTCTCTCGTCTCTTCTTTCTCTCGTCTCTCTCCCTCTCTCTTTCTCTTTCCCCTCTTTCTCTCTCTTCTCTCTCTCTCTCTCTCTCTTTTCTGCGCCTCTCTCTTTCCTCCTTCTCTTCTCTCTGTGTCCTCTCTCTCTCTACTCTCGCTCGACTGTTAGTGGCACATCGTCCGAACGCGCGCATGCACGAGAAACGCATTACATACGCACCAGGGGTGAATTGTCATTATTAACCCTTGATACGCACGCATACATATACCCTCCACCCACACGACACCACCACGTCTCGCCGCGACCGTACGCGACGTAAACACACTTGGTTACGCGCGCACACGACTTGGTCGATAGCCGACGATGCACGCACACGCATTTTTTTTTTCGCATGCACCACCGGACACTGCGACACCACGAACAGCACGCACACCACGACGCACGCACACACAACACCACCGACACACACACACACACACACACACGACATCACACACACACACCTGCAAAAGACGGTCGCCATGGGTACGTGTACGGCTGCTGGCATGCAAATAAGTGCTGAGAGAATTCGCTCTCGCCCTCCCTCATGCTACATGTTGCTGAAGTGCAAAGTGCTTAATTAGTTCAGTGGAATACAAGCTCAGTCCCAGTATGATGAAGAGACAGTGAGAAACCCGACCGGTGCTCTTCTCTCTCTCCTCTTCTCTCTTCTCGGCTCTCTGCTCTCGAGTTGCTCTCTCTCTCTCTCGTCTCTGCTATCTCTCTCATCTCTCTCTCATCTCTCATCTCTCTCTCTCTCTCTCTCTCTCTCTCTCTCGTCACTCTATCTCTCTCTCTCTCTCTCTCTCTCTCCTCGTCTCTCTCTCTCTCTCCTCTCTCTCTCTCTCTCTCTCTCGCTCTCTTTCTCTCTCTCTCTCGCTCTCGCTTTCTCTGCACCTCTCACTACCGTCTCTTACACTATCCATCCCTTTGCCTCTCTCGCTCTCTCTCGCGCGATCTTCTCTCGTTCTCTCGCTTTCACTCTTTCGCTCTATGGCGGTATTGTACGGATGCGGAATTTGTGTAGCAGGTCAGGCACATCGCTACGTGAAAGGATGCGACGAGGAGGTCAAAATCGCGGGCGCGCCATCGGAGAGCAGTCGAAAGAGAATTTCACTCAATGATGTTTGTTTTTCTGTTTCACTCTTGCAGACGCTTGTGAATTGAGAGACTGCTAGCGCGCGCTGCAGTCAGGCGGCGACGAGAGGGAAGGAAGTGTGTTTAGAGTGCGTGTGCCCGGGACAGGCGAGGGAACGAGGAAGCGACAATATGTGGCACGCACGCACGCACGCACGGCTGGCATACGTTGAACTACAGCCGGCAAAGGGCTTTGCACCAGGATAACCCGTTATCGTTCACGCGCTGTACTCGAACAAGGAGCTGCAGTGTGCAAAGTGCGACGCGACTAGCGGCTCAGAGCGGCGTCGACATGCTAGCGGCGAGATATGGAAGGTGTGCTACGCGTGAGCTTTTTGTCTGTCGCCTGAGATTCATCACACGTTAGTTTCGAACGCTAGTAGAGGAGGAGAGTGGTGCGAGGGTTGCCATGGCGAAGACGCAGGAGTGCAAGTTAGACTCCAGCTTCCGACAGCGGCTCAATGATACGCTGAAACACAAGAACAGCGATTCGAATAACGATAGCGGTGCCGACACGGACACCGCCTCGAACGGTGTGAGTGGTGTCGCCGACGAGCGGCGGAGGGCAAGACGCAAAGAGTGGTGAGCACTCCCACGGAGCTAGTGGATTCATCCGCTGAAGTACTCGAAGGCTGGCTGCCAGTTCACGAGAAAGCGAGCGATATGCTATCACGAGAGGAGTGCACAGACATTCTACCTGGAGGTGAGTGTCTGTATAACATGTGATGCGTGTGCGTGTGGCGTGTGTGTGTGTGTGTGTGTGTGTTGTGTGTGTGTGTGTGTGGCGTGCGTGCGTGTGGCGTGTGCGTGTCGTGTTGCGTGTGTGTGTGTGTGTTGTGTTGTGTGGTGTGGTGTGTGTGTGTGTTGTGGTGTGTGTGTGTGTGTGTTGTGTGTGTGTGTGTGTGTGTGTGTGTGTGTGTGTGTGTGTGGTGTGTGTGTGTGTTGTGTGTGTGTGTGTGTGTGGTGTGTGTGTGTGTGTGTGTGTGTGTGTGTGTGTGTGTGTAGTGTGTGTGTGTGTGTGTGTGTGTGTGTGTGTGTGTGCTGTGTGTGTGTGTGTGTGTGTGTGTGTGTGTGTGTGTGTGTGCGTTGGTGTGCGTGGTTACGTGCCGTGTGTTACGTGCGTGTGTTACATGCGTGCGTGTTGTGTGTGTGATTGTGTGTGTGTGTGTGTGATGTGTGTGTGCGGCGTGACGTGCGGTGCCGTGTGCGTGTGGGTGTGTGTGCGTGGCGTGTGCGTGTTGTGTGTGTGTGCGTGTGTGACGTGTGGCAAGGTAAATAAGATTGCCTGTGAGCGACCCTCAAACGTGAACGGTGATTGTATAGAACGGTGCGATTGACTATACCCATATTGCTATTCTCTCCATCATATTAGAAAAAAGAAAAACAGTTTACTGTCTAAGGGCACGTATCCAGTTGATGGCATGTACGTTTTTCTTATTTGAGAGCGCCGGTTTGAATTGTATAGTCTTAACTCATAGTGTTTCTGATTTGAAAGAGCTCTCGAAATAACTTGTCACACTGGAAGGTCATTGTGAGGGCAGGCGAGAGATTGAAACACCCGCACTTGTATGGACAGAGAAAGGATTAGGGGGATCAAAATCATTAGAGCGGGCAATTGAGCAGTTGTTTAGTCCCTTGGACTCCCGCCAGTCTAATCATATCAATTCTTAATTCCTTTGTAATTTAAATCCCATTTAACGCCGTGGCGAGATTGAATCTGCACTTAGCCTGACGAAAAATAACAAGAAGGCAGTAAAAACCCGTGTAATAACCGTCGTAAAATCAACGCTGATACATGGACAACATTCCGTCTTAGTTCAGACATTCCATCGTAGTGTTAGACTGGCTGAGGTGTTAAGCTGTCAACAGTTGACGGGTTAAACCTTCCACCTGCTTAGCTTGCACTTTAATCTCTTTACCCTCTCACGTGCAGGTTCCAGCTACCGTATCATATAATGCACGTTTATATATGGACATATTATATATATATATATATTATATAGCACGCATATAAATAAATAAAATATATAAATATATATATTATATATACTCTCTCTCTCTCTCTCTCTCTCTCTCTCTCTCTCTCTCTCTCTCTCTCTCTCTCTCTCTCTCTCTCTCTCTCTCTCTCTCTCTCTCTCTGGATATCATATATATATATATAAATAAATAAATAAATATATATATATATATATATATATATACATACATATATATATATCCAGCTGACTCCCCTGCTCTCTCTTTCCTCTCTTTACTGCTTATTCGCCACAGTCTTTGCGGCCTCGGCGGACAAACACGTCTGCAAAGAAGAGAACGTTACATTAGTGATGCCGACAAGAGGGGACGATAACCCACAGGGGGTGCTGTCTGCGTGTCTTCCTGCCTGCACACATGCACGCCTCCTTACGGACTTGCCATCACACCTACCGCTACACGGACTTAATTACAGACCGGCTATCTACCTCCCCATGCCTACATGAGAATCGAATTAAGTGTCTGCGTCCTTTCATTGATTTCGTTTTGCTTTGTTTTATATCTGTTTATCTGTCTGTATGCCGGTCCGTATCTCCATCTGCCCATCCCCGCGTGTCTCTTCATCTAGTAGGTCGTCTATCTGTCGAGCGAGCGATTGAGCGAGCGAGCTAACAGACCCACTGCTACTGATACTGCTACTGCTACTGCTACTACTACTGTTGCTTCTACTGCTGCTACTACTGCTGCTACTGCTACTGCTACTGCTACTGTTGCTACTACTGCTACTGCTGCTACTACTATTACTACTATTACTGCTACTGCTGTTACTGCTACTGCTGCTACTGCTGCTACTACTACTGTTGCTACTACTGCTGCTACTACTACTCTTACTGCTACTACTACTATTACTGCTAACACTACTATTAATGCTGCTACTACTGCTGCTACTGCTACTGCTACTGCTACTGTTGCTACTACTGCTACTGCTGCTACTGCTACTGCTACTGCTACTACTATTACTATTATTACTGCTACTGCTGCTACTGCTGCTACTACTACTGTTGCTACTACTGCTGCTACTACTACTCCTACAGCTACTAGCTACTAGCTACTACTATTACTGCTGCTGCTGCTGCTTTGGTGTCTCTATGTCTCGGCTTCCTCTGTTTCAGACTCGCTCGGCCTGCATCGCATTGAGAACCCGTCGCACACGGACCTCGCCTGCTCGCTGCATCTGTACTGCCCACCGTTCGACGAGTGCTTCACATTCGACGAACGCACCGCACACAAGAACACCTGCAAGACGACGTTCCACAGCAAGTTCGGCGTCAGGACACCCTTCGTAAGTATAGCCGATAGTAGTAATAGTAGTAGTAGTAGTAGAGTAGTAGTAGTAGTAGTAGAAGTAGTAGTAGTAGTAGCAGTAGTAGCAGTAGTAGTAGTAGCAGTAGAAACAGTAGTAGTTGTGAGAAGTAGGAGCAGTAGTTGTGAGAAGTAGGAGCAGTAGTTGTGAGAAGTAGGAGCAGTAGTTGTGAGAAGTAGGAGCAGTAGTTGTGAGAAGTAGAACTGTAGAAGCCACACTGTTAAAGTACAATCACCGTATGACGGTGTGGCACGCACGCACGCACGCACACACGCACGCACGCACGCACGCACGCACGCACGCATACGCACGCACGCACGCACACACGCACGCATACACGCACGCACGCACGCACCTGGAGGTTCTTAACACACTCTTGCCAAACATCAGTGGCTTGCAGGCAGCACTATCAGTGTTACCGCAGACAATGTATACATATTATCAATGTATACATATTATCAGGAGTAGATAATAGAAGATAAATAATAGATCTTCTATTATCTACTCCTGATATTATTATCAAGAGCTCATAATAGTGATCTCTCTTATGAGCTCTTGATATTATATATTTATATATATATTATATATATATGCGTGTGTGCGTGTGTGTGTGTGCGTGCGTGCGTGTGTGTGTCTATCGTAAACATACACCGTGCCTGCGGCTACACAAAGCAGTAACGACGAATCAACAATCTTGGTTCACAGATGTTGATGTTCACATACGAGACAGGAACTAATACAGGGGTTCCTGGGACTAATGACACCCCTTTGCAACTGCAAGACTCATTTTCCTAGTTTGTAAAGAAAAAACGTTTCTAAATTAATCTTAAAACCTATTATAGTACTTCGCAATATAGAATAAGTCACTGTCAGTATAAAATACAATTACGAGACAGAAAACGTGTAATCAGAATCAAATCAGATTTCGAACGACTTTTACTAAAAGAAAACTGCAGTGCGGGCCGGATATTCGCTGTGGTTTCACTGCAATCATTGCCGAATCCATCCCTGCGGTGAAACTGAAACATTACCCCCTAGAGTTATTAGCAAATAAGACACGAAAGTAAGGTGAGCGAACTTCAGGCTGCAGGCTACAGCGACCGAGTCACATTATTTCTTCACGGATAAGGAAGTAATAATTATTGTTGCCGGAGCAGGATTAGTTGTTACCGAACGCAATGCGCACAGCCTCACAGTTACTCTACGCATTCTACATCTGTGCAAACTTGCCTATCAGCCACACAGGTTGCATCAACGATGACGAGCATACATGTGATTATGAGTTACGTAAGCGCACCGTTGCTGGCTGTCTCGTGAATCATCTGAAGAGCTAACGGGATCAAACGAAGCAAGATAACTCGAAAGCAATCAACAAGAGAGCAAACAGTTGTGACACCGCGAAACCGAGCGCACCCACGCCAACACAGTGCACGTTACACACAAGTAGCATACATGTACACACGAAGAAAATTGATCACACACTAAATAGCGAAAGTAGTATATATACGTCCTCCCTCCTGCAACTGGTGCGAAGGTGCCAATTGGGCCAGCCAGCCCTGCAACCTACTGCTGCCCGAGTAAACGCACGTGTAAACCGAAGAGAGATCGTTGCATTGAACACCGGCAGCTGACTGCTGTACAAACTGGCTTTGTTGGGTAGAAATCGACGGAACGAGTTGGGTGATGCCAATCCTTGCATTGTTCCTTTGCCGAACAAACAACCACTGCACCGGGCTGCGTCACGTTGTTCCGACGTTCTGTGCACGCCCCCTCACTTTGTTCTTTTCTCCCCTCTCTACCATCTTAGAGATCCGATCATAAAAGAATGGCTGTAAGTGTAAGGACGCGTGCACAATGGACTGCCTCACCCTATAAGTAAATCTGCTTTTGCAATCCATGCATTTCCCGCTCGTTTAACAAGAAGATCGTCTGATTGACAACGCAAAGGCGATGACATCACGCCAATGACCGCAGTAATGACGTTCCATTTGCCGGCAGGAATTCGGAGCAGAATGATTACAGAAACAATCGCAAGACTTATGTATATCAGACAATGACGAACGAGCAGATATTTCCCCTGTGGCCTTGGAAACGCTAGAATCGCCCTAGCGCACACTAAACGACTAATCTATCTTGCCTTTTCTATTTCTCTCTCGCGCGCTCTCTCTCTCTCTCTCTCGCTCTCTCTCTCTCTCTCTCTCTCTCTCTCTCTCTCTCTCTCTCTCTCTCTCTCGTCTTCTCTTTTCTCTCTTTCTCTCTCTCTCTTTCTCTCCCCGCTCTCTCCCTCTCTCTCTCTCTTACTCTCTTTCTCTCTCTCTCTTTCTCTCCCCGCTCTCTCTCTCTCTCTCTCTCTCTCTCTCTCTCTCTCTCTTCTTCCCGCTCTCTCTTCTCTCTCTCTCTCTCTCTCTCTCTCTCTTCTCTCTATCTATCTATCTCTTTCCCTCTCTCTCTCGCTATTATATATATATATATATAAATGTAGAAGAATAGAATAGGGTATTGCTGATCAATAAATTTTGATCAGCAAGCTTTTGAGAATAATCTCTTTTCATCAAGCTTTTCAAAAGGCAGACTGTTGTAATATAACTTACATAACTTAAATACCCCACCCAGTGTCTATTCCGTATCGATGCCTTTACACTAAATGACATATCTATCTTGCTTTCTCTACTCCCCTCTTTCGTGATATTACTGTATGTCCTCCCCGCACCACTCCTACAAGCCTACAATCTGACATCGTCTTCCACTGCTCCCTCTCTCTCTCTGCCTGCGCGGTTGCAACGCCAATTTTTACAAGCTAACGCCCTCCCTCCCCTCTCCACGGCCATTCAGAGTCGTAATTTGGTAGAACAAGTATGAAGTGGCCGCTCTGCTCGCATGGCCACGGGGCATATTAGGTGACATTATTTGCAGCCGTGTGTGTGTGGGGGGGGGGGGGCGGGAGCAGCATGACGAGTGGTGAGTGACTCACATGCGCCGTGAATTACGGACCAAGCAGCGAAGCTTGTCACACTCCCAACCGCCACTTCTAACGCGGCCTGTGCGCCGGGCGACTGTCAAATTCCGAAATGGGGGCATCAATAAAAATTAATTACACTTTAGGAACCGCTTATCGACATTGTGTATTATTGTTATATGCCGCGTTGTGTTATTTCCGTAGCGGCGATGCTCGTCTCGTGGTAAACATGGGTTGCAGTGTCCAATTGATGCATTCAAAAGCGTATAAATAATTTAAGACCTTCTTTATACGCTCTTGATGCATTGTATTACGCTACTCGCACAACTCTATGTACTTCCACACAACGAAGTGTGTAGAAACGACATATATATGCTGCACTGTCGCTGTGTTACAGTCATCCAAACTGTTCTACATACCATTTACAGAGTTGACCATTAAAACTAGCCACAAGTGACCTTCTCGCTTCTCACTACGTGGCGAGAAGGTCACAAGCAAACGAAGCGACCGAACCTTGCAGCTATAATAACAAAGGACGGCAGCAAAACGTACCAATGCCAAGCTTCTGATAGCTTTTACCGCTTCCGTGTCGACTTTAACTATGAACGCGCTTTTGCTAGCCATGTATTCACGTGCCAGCAAGCATTAATTAGTGAGATTTGATAAGGGAGAAATTCGAACAAAGCAGCCATTTCTGTTTAAATTCTGTATGATTTTTCGCACACTCGGTAGTCTTGTGTAGTTCTCGCGCATGCGCAGTAATGCAAGTATGGAGTTTGCCAACTTTTAAAATAGCTTCTTTGTCTAAATTGTCTGATTAACCAAAGTAAAATACCAGTTAAATACTTAAAGTATGTCGTGATTAAAAATATACCTTCAACATGTAACACGTCCATCAAATGTGGCAATATAGGCTACGATTGTTTTACGAATTGCAATACGAAATTCGGAGTTTTGTTTTTCATGCTACAAGGCTTTTTGTATTATACGGTGTCAGGCTCCTACGGCGTGTAATTTAGCGGGAGAGGCTGGTCGGGCTAACCATTAACTTTCCCCCACACAAAGAACGCATTGTCTGTTCTGCATCTCTGTCCGTTCTACACCCAGTAATCACTCATCCCTATCCTTCACTAGTCAGCACAGGCACTTGGGATCGTTGCAATAAAATATAATGCTAAATAAATACGAAATCTATTTACTACCAAAGTCTTAATGTTTCTCTACTCTCTTTCACTTATTATTGCCGACAATTTCCTGTAAATGCCGTCCAAATGCTCATCTGCAACACGCTGGCTGCCGCACGCTAGCTGCTGCACACTAACACATCAATAATATATAGTTATATTTTTTATTTTTATATACCTATATATTTATGTGTCAGTGTGCAGCAGCTAGCGTGCGGCAGCCAGCGTGTGTTGCAGATGAGCATTTGGACGGCATTTACAGGAAATTGTCGACAATAATAGGTGAACGAGAGTATAGAAACATTAAGACTTTGGTAGTAAATAGATTTCGTATTTATTTAGCATTATATTTTATTGAAACGCTCCAAGTGCCTGTGCTAGTCAGAACCGTCCTGCACCACTCACTAATGAACCTGCACCACTCTCACTAATGAACCTCCACCACTCACTAGTGAACCCCACGCATGAACGATGTTTATCGTGTGCGCCTGCACACGTTGACGTGAACAGCAACTGGAGAGGTCAGACTTGTAGGTATAATATTAATAACCATCGCTGCCTGAGAGATTAATCTGAGGTGAAAGAACAGCTCAGTGAATAAAAACAAGATCATACTTACTACTCATAAGGATTATCAGCATGTATTATCAGTAGCCATCAAGAGTACACAACTCTCTATTATGAGAGCACATCTCTATTGTGTACTCTTGGTAGACATGTCTAGTACATCGCACATGTACATACATACACATGCTAATGTGTTTAAATGTGTTATGGAGATAGGGTACGTACCTTATCTATATCAAACAGCAAGGGGCTGTTTGTTTATCTCCTTTAGG